TATAAATCTAAAACATTTGTGTAGATTAAAACTTATACTTAAGTTATAATGTATATTATATTTCATTTATATAGTAAAATAAATGACGTTAATAGCTATATAAAAAATAAAAAATAAAAATATATATCATAAAATACACTTAGTGATATAGGCTGAAAGGCGGTCTTCGTCCGAAGTGATTTTTCGTTGTACAGTGATATATCATTGAATTCGAATTCAATACTATAACAGTGACTTAATCCTCACCTAATGTACAACAGTACAGCAGAGCGGTATCCACTTGACAACTACATTTTTTATCATTGTATAATAAAATTATCAAAAATTGGTTTTCGTTATTGTATTTTTTAAGCGTTCAAAATTAAAATGATGAAGTTATTTTATAGATTGCTGAAATTAGTTCATTAGGTAGATAAAATATATTACATCAGTGATTTTAACAATATACTTGTATTCTTTTAAACTAAATAAAATATTCTATGATAAAAAAAAAAAAAAAAAAAAAAAAAAAAAAATGAAATTTATTTTAATTTTAAATAACTACTAAAGGTTACTTTACTATTAATATAATAAAAAATATCCTTAGAAATTGATTCAGTAATGCTGATTCATCAATCTTTTTTTAAATGTATAATGATTTTGATTTCAAATTAAAATACAACTATAATAGTAATTTATATTCAAAAACAAGGTATCTACATTTGAAATTTATTATATACTGCAGAATGAATTTCCTAGTTTTTGTTTTCTATCTTTTTAGAGTCTAGATTACGTTATTTAAAATTTTTTTTTCCTTTTTCATCCAACATTTTTCTAGGACATAGTTTTGTGCTTTCCAGAGTTTTTGGTTTTATGTGCATTAAATATACGATAATAATAATAATAATAATAATAATAATAATAATAATAAAGAAATAAGATTTTATTAATAAAATAATATGATTTCTATATGAATATAGAAATCATTTTTTAGCAATTTCCTATCATAGTAATTACAATAATATAATTAAATATTAAACACTTCTTATTATATTAGTTGTAAAGTCGTTTAAGTATTTAGTTATTTCTCAAGAACTGTATTTTAACTTAAAAATGTATTAGTTATTATAGCAGGTATGGAAAGATATATAAATACATTAATTCATTACAATTCTTTCTATGTAGATTCTATATGTATCTACCTACATATTAAGTGTTTAATATATAATCGATATCTAGTAGTTATTACATTGTTATATGCAATAAATAAATTGAAAAAATTCTTATTTTACTATGATCTAATCATATTATTGTTTTATTGTACTGTTGTTTATGAGTTATAAATTATAATAAAACGTAAATTATACATTATTATTTATCAATACAATATTAAATAAATGTAAAATGTAATAGGTATGTCAGTTATTCACTAGTTATAATTTCGAGAACATTAAAATTTAATTTGTGCCGCGGCCGTTTTTGAAAGATTTTTTTTAGAACATACGTACACGATAACAATAAACAACGTATGATTCATCTTGGAAATTACGTATGTATACAGGAAAGCTTTGTTGTGATTATAATTTATACAATTATTTTATGTATTATAAATAATTTTGATTTAATCGTCATTATGTTCTTATTTTTTTTTCAAAATTCAATATAATACGTGAAAGTTAATAGAAAAAACATACTTTATACGAGTGATTGTGTATGATTTTTCATATTATATATCTCAGCATTAAATCTTTGAACATAATTTCAAAAAAAAAAAAACTTAAGTACAATTTTACACTTTTTACTTACATTTATTTTAATTATTTTTGTTTATGTTTAAAAAATAATATTCTTTATTTACAATAAAAATAGTTTAACATAACTGTAGTATCTCTATTCACTATAGCAAGTTTCTAACTGATATTTTTTATGAAAACATTTTTAAGATATTTTCGCAGACAATAAATTACAGTAATTAAATATGGTTCTAACGTGCTCACGAACAGTCAGAGATACAGGTGTTTATGCACGCAAATCTTTAAGTTAGTGATTTAATTAAAACAAATTTAGCTACCTTCTTGTATAATTTAAATCTTAAGAAATAAAATATAAAAAGTTTTTAAGCATATGCTGGGTATTTGGTTAATAATTATAGCCGTATAACTATAATATAGCTATAGATATAGATTATAATATTATAATGTTATAATTCACTATAGGTTAGTTACATAGGCGTAAATTGAAGGAGGGAAGGCTTAGAAGGACTTAACCCTCCCAAAAATGTGTATAGTCCCCTACATATTTTTTTAAGTTTTTTAACAAATTTCAGGTTTTTTACTAAAGAAAATTATAAAATATACTACATAGTTCCTAAATAGGATGTCCGATAAGTATGTATTATTTGAACGTTTAAGGTTCATGTATTCATGTATCATGCATGAATTTTGTATTGTAAATTTATAATGTAATAATTAGAATGATTGAGCTACGTTAATATTATATATAACAACAGCTTTTCCAATCTACATTTTGAACAAAGTACTTACTTTATTGATTATTATAAAGAAAATATAGCGATAATATTTTATGAGAACCATGTACTAAATATTATATTGGTTAATATTTAATTTTATATTTTATATTTCTTTAGGATTATTACCACGTATTTCTATTAATTCATTGAAAGTTGAAATGGCTATTGCTAAAAATTGTATGATCTCAACATATGATACTTTAAAAGAATTAATAGTAAATAATTTTAAGCTTATTTTTAGGGCTATGATGTTAAAAAAATGCAATAAAATATGCACTTACGATGCAAAATTTTCAATATAAAATACCAAAAATTAAGTGTAAAATACACTTAAAATGGTTTTTGATTTAATTTTTATATTTACATTGATATTATAGGATATTATAAATTTAGTGGATTAAATTTTACATGCATAAAATTGTGTTTATTTTATTAAAAAAAAAAAATATATTAAAAATGTTGATTTTATTTGAATTTTGTATAATACTATTCACCTGAAACATTTTTAAATTTTTTTGTTTCTTATGTATTTATCTTGTTAATAATTTGGTTTTCAAAGATGTTAATTGACAGAATTTAATTAAAAATACTGGAAAATGAACTTAAAAATGAAAATATGACGTAAAAATGCAAAAAATGGCCTAAAAATTAAAAATGTCAACAAATACAAAGAAAAGTTTCATAAATAGATTCGTTGTTACATAATTTAAATTATGTACTTACAAAGCTATGTTTCACAATCGCAAAAAAAAAAAAAATGCACTTTCCTACAAATTTACAGCCTTACTTATTTTACATGAAAATGTTTACCCTGCAAACTTGTTTCATTTGTATAAAATAGCTTCAACATTACCAATTAGTTCCTTCACGTATGAGAGAAGCTTCTATGCTATATGCCGGATAAAAACGTGGTTACAAACGTCTATGTCACAAGATAGATTCAATTAGGTATCTATTTTGTATATAGAAAAAAGCGATACCAAAAATATTAACCATGAAGATTAGAGATCTCTAGTCTTCATGATATTAACAATGAGACTATTCTTAAGAATTTTGCAGATGAACATAAATAAATAATGATAAATTAATATAGAAAAAAAATGTTATTAATAAATATATTAAATTATGGTTTTGTTAAATAAATAATTTTGAAATATTTATATACATTTTCTAAAAGAAATGTTACAATAAAATTGTAAAATTTATATTTAGGGGTACGGGGATGAAGCCCTCCGCAGGCCTGTTCTATGTTTATAATTTTAGCCCCTCCTTCTAACAAGCCAAATTTACGCCTATGGTTAGTTATAAATTATAGTTTATACTTTAAAGTTTAAACACAATTATTGCAGTTTAAAACTACTAACAAAAATATTTTTACAATAAATCAATTTGTGGAATGTGTGTTTGAGATTCTCTCAATTTTTTTTGTAATATTATTTATAGGTAAAACTTATTGATAAGTCTTATGTATAATTTATGATTTGTGTGAGGTTATTTAGATATGTAACATGTAAAAATGTTTGAGATACTAAACGTAATGTATTATTCTCTTTATAATTATGAAAATAATATTTTACAGAAATTACGTTTGATACATATTTATTACATAACAATTGTAATTATTATGTATTCATTTTTTTTATAAATATACTTAATTTTAATTTAAATGCTTACAGTAATTTTCCTCTAGCATTTATCTTAAATCTGTCGTTTAAAAAAAAAAAAGTGGAAAATCTAAATAAAATATTGTAATACAGATAACATATTACATATGTAATTAAAGCAATTATTATCGTGTTAAATAGGTACTATTAGAATGACTAAACGTAGATATTTCAGTAAACAGTTTACTATATCATATTAGATTAACACGCAGTTTATTTATTTTTTTTAATTTTGTGCTAAATACGTATATTGGTTAATAATTTTATTAAAAAAAAATATTTTCTTAGTCAAGCAAAATATCATTCTGTAAAATCATTAAATTATGTACTTAAAACAAAACAAATCGATTTTTAAGTTTATATCCAAAATAAATTGAAAATATAACCATAAGATTACAATATTTTATCTAAAATAATTATAACACGAAACTATGACGGTCTTAAAATATGCTTTTTCACTCCGTTTCGTGCAGTGGCGCAGTGCCCTAATTAAATCGCGTATACCATAAACGTATTTGTGTTGTGAATAATTATTGTGATTTGGCGCCATAATTTTAGGCTTTGCTTAGTTCTGAAATATATGACTTATACACCTATATCTATTTATTATTTTTATTATTATTATTTTCGCTGTAGCCATTAAGTGGTGTGACCTTCGGTTGTTGTCAAGTCGGCGCCGCCGACTCTACACCATATCGTCAGCACTGTAAACATCGGTGGCGGCGGAACTAAAACCTCTCACCTACCGACCGACCGTCGTTGGCGGTGTGCGCGCGTCTCCTGATGATACCACTCACGCGCGCCTCTGCGTCGGTAATAATCGCGATTCGCGACTGCCGGGCGGCAGGCACTAGGCGGCAGTGTACCGTCTAATTCCGTGGCGTGCGTGTGTGTCGTTTGTGTGTCGCGTGACCGCCGTTCCGATCTATTTGTCTGTCGCCGTCGTCGTTACACACAAATCATTTTTCACGGTTGTCTTAAAATTCAATATTATATAATATACATCAAACGCAGTTTTCACGATCAGTAAACTTGTCCTACAACTGTTACAGGATTGTGCGCGGGTGATTCCGTATTCGTCGCACACGTTTACACACGCATATTTACATATAACGTATAATATAATAATATATGTACGGACTGTGATCGTCATTGTTGGTGGTTGTGTCGGTGGTATATACAACTGATGTATCCCAACTCGTTCTCGTTATCGTGCAATAATAGTGTGTAATATTATGCTCGAGGCCAATCGATCCACGGTTTCCTGTTAATGGTTTCCTCTGCATTTACATGGTGAGCACTATTCTACCGACGGTGCAATCGAACTTTCTTCGATGAGAATCACGTCTCTTTTTGTTTGTACGCTTCGTTCCGTTTTTAACGATTTTTCCCTCCAACGCTTTGTATAATATCTTTTATTACGTACAAATACATACATATATTTATATATATACACTATATGTACCTTTATGAGAATGGCGAGGGTCAACATTTGGGTGGGTCAAGACGATGACTTACCTCTTCGTTACCGAAATTCGGTGTCTAAAAGTCGACTATGATTATAATTTACTAGTAAAAGTGATAGTTATATTAAACTTATATAACCTCGTAATGACCTTATTTGCAACTGCTATTTATAGTCATACTACAAGGTTTAAAATATGTTGATAATAATTAGCATCATAATACGTTAAGAAAAATTTTCGATCTTGTCATTATTGGATAACCACTTATTTACATTTCACAGATTTGCTGGAAATAAACGCGGATAAATGTTTTGCATTATGTTGAAATTGCCGACCTCGTACAAAAATTTAATACCTATTATTGCATTTCCAAAATATAAATAAATTATTTTACATTTTACTTAATGTATTTTTTAGTTGTCTTCAGGATATGATTCATCAATAAAACAATGTAGTCTATCTGTTACTTATACTCAATATTCATTATTTAATATTTTTAAAGACGTTTTAATTTTTCTTTTGAATGTTTACTTGTATTTTATAGTAAATTGATTAAAAAAAACGTTTTATAAAAATTAATTTTATTGCAAATCTTTATTTCGCCTCTTGTATAATAACAATAATCGCAATTTTATTGATTTAGATTACCTACATTAAATAATAAATCAGTACTGCAAAATTTTTAACCTAATGTTTTTTCATTTTCATTTTCTCATACGAAATTGTGTGTATTAAATTGTAGCTATTTCTATTTTTATCATATCTGTTATTATATCATGAGTTGGAGGGGGACTTAAAAATATATGAGTGTTTGTGTATAGACTACAGAGTGATTAGTTTATCATATAATATATTAATACAATATTCTAATTTATCTTTTATACATTTATTTATTTAAATACATTTAGAAACCTATACAAACTAATAAAAAGTTTTAGTTGTAATATATACTATATACATTTTATTTTATATTGTGTTCTAAATATTATTAAAAGTTACATATTATTTGATTTTTGAAATTGTTTAATGTAATTTAAAATATAATTGATTATAATGTACAATAACAATACGTATGTTGTACAGTATTTGAATAAAAAATGGTAAAAACTTCAAACTAGGAATAATTGATCATTAATATTATAAATAATGTTACATTATTTAGTTTTATTTAATATCATTGGTAAAATTCATTAAGGAATAATAGGAACTGGGCAGTGCTTTTTATGCTGTGAGATATTTTTAATTGATATACCTAAATACGATACATTTATTTTCTTGATATTATTTTTTATTAATTGATGGTACTATAATCAGTTTGAAAATTTAATACATTAAACAAATAGAAATATTAAGATTTTTGAAAAATCATATTTCATTATTTACTTTAGTATTCAGTTATTTAAAATTTAAGTATCAAATAGTTTTCTACTCGTAAAATGAGTATTTTGTTAATCCTTGTTAATCAATATTTGCATATAGTATTTATACTTATAAATTGTTGACGATCTATTTATGGTACATTTACGAGTATATATATGATTTATAAATTAGAATATTTGAAAAAAAATACCTTACAATTTGTAACTTTTATATATATACGATAATTTAAAGATAATTTAATATGATCATGTATTATTTATAATAATTGATTTTTAGGAACTATTTTAAACATCAAAATTAAATTTATTATTTTATATCATTTTGACTCTATCAATGTGTTCACTAATCTAAAATTAGTGTCATATGGCTATGATATAGCACGTGAACTATCAAACAAAACAATTATTTTAACTATTGAAGCATTTAAGTAGATATATTAAGTTATTATACATCAAACTAATTTGTTTGTTTATCATAAATTATTTTAAAACTTGATTGCTCGTATAATTATCTATCATACACAATTCAATTATTTACATTTTTGTATCTACAATTATAGTTGTAAAATTTAGAATGGAGAAAATGTTCAATACATTTAAAGTATTAAATATTTAATTTTAGATTTTGTACGTAGCGCGTTGGATATTTTTGTTTAACAATAAGTTGTGGTTTATTTCATCACCTTTTGGAGCAGTAATAATGCTACAAAATTGTTAACTTTAAGGGTGGTTTCTATTAGTAAATTGGATCTAGTCAATATTACGGGATACTAAAGTAATAAAATGCTTGTAGTTTTTTTTTAATAAATTAGAAAACAAAAAAAAAAAATATGTATATATACACAGAAAAACATGAATTTTTACGCAATACCAGTTTTTGATAAAATTGATTTTGTTGTATCTTAGTCTTAATTGAATAATCCGGTTGATGTTAAGAATTTTCATAAAATATTAAATTAACATTATTCTTATCATGGTATAATTTTCAAAATATTTTTGTTCATTTTGATGAACTATTTATAGACATTTTTAATTATCAATGTTTTTTCGATTTTTGTTGATGCAATTTTCTCTTAAGTCGAGAACCTTGAAAATCTGATAAAAGATTTTTGATAAGTTGTTTTTATAGTAATTAAAAATAGCTATCGGAGGTACGTAGATTCTATTTAAACATTAAAGGTTCAAATTAACACAAAAAATATACAAAAAAATAACGATTTTTGTTATATAATTGCTATAATTTAATAATACTAACCGAAGAAATTTAAAATATTCCAGTATACCTATAATAAATTATTATTTTTGATGTAATTTTAAAAATATTTATGATAATTTTAAGCCATTTATAGCATTGAACTTATTTACTCTATTTTAAGGTATGTCGATGTCATTATATGAATGACGAGGTGCACTTGAAACCCATGTATATTATAATATATAATGGAGTGTCTTTATTGTTTTTTTTTTTAAATTAGATACTGCGTCGTAAAATATAAACATATAGTGGTCATAAAAGTTTTTGTATTTGCACATATAATTTCATTGGAAATAATCATCAGTAGGTAATAAATTAGTTTATACATTAATAATATGTTAGTATACGTATTTGATCTGCTGATTTTATTTTTGCTTTTAAATTTACATTTTCTTATATCACGTGTACATAGAAACTGCGTGTTTCTGCTCTTAATACTTAGTATTTTTTTAAATCAATATTCATTTATAAATCAGCTATAAAAGTTTAAGAAAAAAAAAATCTATTGACTATCATAATTTGAAATCGGTGAACTTGATAATAATTGATTTTAAATTAACATGATAATACCTATTCCTGTTTATGTGGTACATCAAAAACCCCTAAAGTCTTCTTTATATTTAATTATTTGCTTTCTCATAGATTTTTTTTTAATGGTTATAATTATCATTTTTTATAATTTAAATATTTTTTTACGAATAGATTGAACATAATTAACTATATTTTTACGTTTTGTTTACAACTAATAATAATTATGTCATTAATAAGGGTAAAGGCTAACGCTACAATAATATTTTAGTTAAGTAAAGTATTAAAACGAATGAATTTTTAATAAAATCAATAGAATAGTATCAATAAATATCTTTAAGAATTTTTAATTAATTTTTATCTTTAGATTCAAGATCATGCTGCATTTTTATTATTAAAGTTTTATTTTTATGTATCAACTATGTTGAATGTAGACATATTTATATGAATATTTTATTTTACTTTTATTACAAGGTTAATATTTTTACTTAATAAATTTTATATTTTATTCATATTTATTAATTTTTTTCTGGTATAATACTACACATGTTTAATACTTTCAATAATATTCTCGACTTTCCGATTATTATATTTGTTTTAATAAAACATAATCTAACTTCTAAGCTTTTAAAACACGATAATGACTCAAGATAATGAATAAAAATATTATAACATAAATAAAAAATAAAATCAAATGTTAGAAAGATATCAAAATATTAGGTATTTAATTTTGTGCAAAAATAACACGACGCCTTCTATGTATATTGTATACGTGATATATGTTTCTTTGTTGTCGAGTTTTAACAAAATTAATGTACCAATAACTATAACTATTTTATTTTTATATTTCAAAAAATTATACTGTTATTACAATGATGAATGGATTAATTATTATTAACTATTAAGTATTCAACAGAATGATTGAAATACACAATACACAAAAAGATAATGACTAAATAACATCTGTAGATTTATTGAATAGAGTTTAGTTTAGTGAATTGAGACTTCAAATTGAATTTATTAATATATTTATTTATATTGATTTTATTTTATCATGTGATAGCTTAAATTTTGAATGTATGAATGTATTATTTCTAAAATATCATTGAATATTATTATTTTTCTTTTTTTTGGATAGGGACAAGACAACAACCATTAACATTTTTTAAAGAAATGTTCGTTTTATAATTATATTTTTAAATTTGATTATTCATCATTGTTTTCAAATATTTAATTTGTATTACCATCAATCTGCTGTGAGAAGAGAAAAGTAAAATATGTGCCCAAAACCCAATCGCTGATTGAATTTTTGTTGTTGTCTGATTACTATCGGTAATAAATATATAATATTATATTATCCTGGATAAAATTTGTAATATTTCATTATATAATGTTTATTCATTGATTATCATTTATCACTAAAATTTTGTTTATATTTTTAATATTCTTAAAAATTAATAAGTTTATAAATTCGTATGAAGTTTTTATTACTGCAGTTTTATTTTATGAATAAAAAATTAAAATCACAGTGTCTTCCAAATACATTTTTTCAATATTTTTTACTGGTTATTAGTACATTTTTCTTATGTACTGTTAACATTTAAACAAATATTTTTTCTAAAGCTGTCGTCTAAATAGAATTTTTTGTTTTTTAAAGTGTTAATGGAACTTTAATAGATCTTTCGTTGAATTAAAAGGTTCATAGAATAAAAAGCTCTGTAATCAATAGATACATCCTTGCTTCGCTTTTAATTTAAACTAATTTGCATAAGATCAATGATAGTATTATTCTGTAATAATCAATTAATTTTAGTATGCAATATAATTGTGTTTGTTTATTTCAGAGAATAATAAAATAATAATAAGCTTTGTAGTCATGTTCATCAAGATATATGTATAATACTATCATTATTATAGATTATTATTTTACTACATTGTTCATATTCATTTTAACAATCGTACACTCATACCTATTTATAAAAAGTTTGATTTTATTAAAATAATAAATAATAATAGTTACTATAATTATAACTACTTGCTAAATATATTATTTACATACCTCATTTTTAAGTTTCATTATCTACACTACTATTCAATTTAATTTTTATTAAAAGATATTCTTCGTGTCTTCGTAGCATATGCATTATCTGAGTATTCAATATTATAGTATAAGACAAGTATTTATTAATATACCTACAATAGTTAAATACTATGTAAAATTTTACAAGTTTGTAAATATTAGTTTATACTTATACATAATTGCATTAAAAATATTTATTTATACATTAGCTTTGATATTTGTCATTTGTAAAACACATTTTAAAATATAATAAATAAGTATAATTTTTCGATTTGTTAATTTAATTTAATTATTCAACTTTTTAGTTTTAATGATGAGTTTAAGTTAGTTTTTATTTTAATTATTAACAAATAAAACATTGATAAGTTATCTTTTTACTTATTATATTTATATTTTACATGATTATTTTTTCTATTCAGTCAATATTGAACTAAATTTTATGATTGAGTGATTATTTACGGGATTGTATAAAAAAGAAACTAATGTTCTAAATGTTTTGCTTAAATTTTCCATGACGAATTATATTATTTCCTTTGACACACATACTTTTTTATTATACTATTTTCTATAGTTAGACACCTGACTGGTATTGTATTGACGTCCAGTATTAAATTCAAGTATTGCGGAGGCAAGATATTTCAAGAACATTACAAATTTTTACTTAAATTTTATTTTGAATTAACCTAGTATACCTTTAAGGTTTTTTAAATTTTATAACGTATATGTTTTTTTATTACAAAGACATAACTTTAAATCAATAATGATGTGTCTCTTAAGTGTATTTGTGGTACTAAATTTATTTTTTTATCGATTTATAGAGTTTAAATTGAAGCATTTTAATAGCTCCTAACAAAAATTATAATTTATGATACATAAGTATATTTATAAGTTATAACTAAAAAAAAACTTAAAACACAATAGGTATTAATTCATTTTATTTTTTTATCAGAATGACAGAATTAAAAAGATGAATATATTATAGGTATACAATACATAACAAGTATTAAGTGAACTGCATTAATAGTATAAACATAAAAGTTTAAAATATAAAAATGTACTACCTATTATCCAAGGTTTATATACAGAAAATAAATCATGGAAGTTGATATTTTTCTGATATACTTTAAAGAAAAGTACTATACGAAAATCATAGCATAACTTTCTGATTTCTTAATTTAAATGTAAAGTCTAAAATTAATTATGATTATATAAACATGAATATTATATAATGTTTTATTACCTAATCATAATGAATGTATTCAATTTTATATTGCAATATGGTATAAGCATTTTACCGCATTTGATAAATTGTGTGTATTAGTCAAGTATATGTATATCGGTATAGTTGAAGTAATTTTATGTCAATTTAATAATTTATCAGTAACAATTGTGTCTCTAGGTATACGCATAAAACAATCATATTTTACCTAATAATATTTTTATAAAATCAATAATTGTAGTAATGAAAGTTTCTACGAATAAAATAAACACTTATGTTAAATTAATAAAAAACTGCTTGATTTATTAAATCGAACATTATTTTTGTCCACTAAATTTTGACAATAAAATTCCAATGCGCGTATATTGTGTAATTTACGTATAATTTACCAATTTTTAAATGTATTAATTATTGTTTATTTTCATAAAATTTATGAGATATAATTATAAACATAGCTATCAAATAAAAAATTTAGAATAAATTATATTTCAATAAGTTTTTTTTTTTTAATTACATTTTAAAATTTAATTTTAACTATGAAATAGGTGCGCATTTCCGGGTATAATTATTATTCTATGTGATACATCTAATGTTCTATGGCATGTTCGCTGCTTTTAGTTAACCATAATAATACCCATGCATTTTTATTAATACCTTATACTGTAGTTATTATTTAGTTTTTATTTTTAGAATTTTACTTTTGATTTTTAGCTTCTCGGGTAGGTACATTTTTTGCACTTTAAAAACTAGTTGTTTTCATTTTAAACACACAGTCGTGTAGGTAAAAATGTAATAGTATATAAATATATAATCATAAAGGATGTTTAAAATAAATATTAAGGATTGAATGAATGACATACATAATTTTATGAAATTGAACACCGACAATATTATTGATTTCTTTATCATTGATTGTAATTTTTATTTAATATAACGTAAGTATCTGTATACTATAAATAACTATCGTTATAATGTAGGTAATGGTATTACATATAGTTTATAATATATCATTTTATCAAGAAAAATATTATAGACTTATTATTATTGATTAGTTTGTCATTTATGTTTTACCTGGTAAGTTGTGTTATACTCATATATAAAGGTTTCTAAATGTCGTTAAGGGTTGTTACAATAACGATGTATTATCGTCTCTGACCTATTAAATAATAGTTTATAGGGCGTAGTGTTTTGTGTAACAGATTAAAGATTTGTTTTTGTGTTCGTGTTCAACAGTAATTATTGTTATACTTTTAAATCCATTCATCTTATCTTGATATGCATTATCAAAAATTAATTATTTGTATTTGAATTAAATTTATTATTTATAAAATTATACCAATATTAGTAATATACACTGCACCTTTTGCACATTTTAAACGATCGATTGAGTTTTCGACTATATTTTATTCAGCTTAACATATTGACGTCATTGATGTCCTCATTTATAGTCCGTTCTAATTAGATATACCATATCCCTGTAATTATTGTGAATATATTATTGAAATTAGTTTTAAGAAAAAATAACTTGATTATGTTATTGAACTTGTAATATTAAAATTAGTTATATATAATATATAGATTTACAATAATGTTTCGTGTCAATAATAGATAATAATTTTAGAACGACGAAAATAATGGTTGGTGTAGTTATTGGATAAAATACCATACCTATGGTTTATTGACGTAAACGTTTGTAGACTTTTAGCTCTATAAAAATCAAACATATTTATACAATTATAAATTTAAAAAATAATACTTAATTGCTTATATTATTAGACTAATATGTGTTATTTATTTAAAAAAATTGAATTATTGTTATTATTGTTAATAGTTGGTAGTTTTGTTACTAATGATAAGATCGAAAAAAACACTGTCATTAATTTATTGTACAGGGTTATTTTACTATATGAGAATTATTATTTTATAATTTAATGTATGTATAAATTTAATAATTTATTACTTATCAGTAAAAACATAACATATTTGTGTTGTTGACTTGTTGTAGTCTCTGCTAAACAATATATTACAAACACCATATATATCAATTGATTGACATTATTGTATATTTATTTAAAATTCAGTAATTTATTGATTGTTATTGTAAATAATTGTTTCAGGATGGTACTAGAACCAAAAGGAGAGCCTAGCACTGATGGAATCCAAAATAGAATTGGAGTTAAAGGGGTTTCCTATACATGTAACGAAGATCATAAAAAAGAATTTGTTCGTATTGAAATTGACATGCCTCCAGCTAATGGTCATTTAGTGAGTTATTATGTTATAATTTTTTTATTATAAAAGTTTTAATGTTTTATTGAAAAAAAACCAATTATTATTTTAGTGATAAACAAATAAGTAGGTATTATACCATGATTTATATACGTTATTTATGAGTTTTCATTAAATTTAACTTTATACGGTGTAATTAAATTAAATGTACTAAAGTTCATATCATGGTTAATACTTCTAAACAATGTATGATAAATGCTAACTGTCATATGCTCTTAATTTACTTAATTTAGCTTTATAAATATCATAGAATTGTAGTAAAATATTATAGTTATTACAATAAAAACAATGCATGATAGCTCAAAAGTAGAAGTTAATAAATTCTTTCACTAATAGTATGAAATCAACAATAAAATTGTATTTTTAATTACTTAACAGTTAATCATAAAAACAAATTTATTAAAATAGTTAAATGAACAATCCATAGATTTTTTATGAAATTTAAAATTTAAATAATCTTATTTAAAGAATGAGTAATGACAACTTGGTTATAAAAAGAAATTTGTAACAGTGTATTAGAAATAAATATTACAGTTGGTATATTTATAACATATCTTTTTTGTATAATAAAATTTCAATTCAATCTTAATAAAATGGTTTCAAATTTTCATAATATTTATTATAGTACCCCACTTATAAACTCGTGGTTGTACCACTTGTACCAGTTGTACCTTCCTTATTCTCTTTTAATTCGATTGAGGATTGTCTATTGGGCTCTTGTGAAACTCTATAGTCATGAATTTGTATTTAAATTATTTTGATCAGGTCATGGTTATGGATTTCTGTTAGATTCTATCGTCTTTAATTTTTTTCCGTGATCATGATGAAATCATTATATAAAATAGTAGACATAAGTATATTTTTATATTTAAAAGAGAAAAACACGAAAATAACTGTAATTTATCAAATTATTATATTTTATTCATATTAATGCACGATTGTGGACTGTGGTGTTAAGTTATAAAAAACAATTTTCAATTTAACATTTTAATGTCTCTTTACAATGAGTATTTCTTTTCATATTTCATATTTTTTTTCCTTTAACATGTGTTTGTTAGTTATGTTATATAGACAGCAGGTAACGATAACTGAAATGTATAGGTATTTATTGTTGACATAGTAATATCAATATGATTATTGTTTACTTTATTCTAAACGTATATTATACGGGCAAAATTTTTTTTATAATATTTCTGTTTTTATCTTATTTGAGTGTATATATTGTATAGTAATAAAGTTTAAACGTACCTATAGATACCTACAATTTTAAGTAATGTTGTTAGACGACGCCTCTTTCTATTACGTCATCCAGTTTATTGTTTGTTTCTTACTGTAATTATCACATTTACTTATTGTTCTTAATTTTAAAGATTGTAAATCCTCTATTTATTTACTAAAAAAAGAATTAATATATATATACCTAACTGTTAATTATAAACCGTTGATGTTAACTTATTGATCACACTCAAGTAGTTATATCATAAATACTGATAAAGTTCTTCAGGTTCCTATTCGATAAATAACTAACTATTCGTTTTTGTTTAATTAATTTTGATTTGTAACTGTTGGCTTCGGACTGCTATTCTATACAATAAATACATGTAAAATCAATAGATATCAAATTTTAACTTAATATTTACCTGTTTCTGCCTATATAAATATGTATAATTTTTGATTTGTAGCTATAACGACATATTATGTCAAATTTATTCTTTTACTGTAAATAGAGAGGAACTGTATGTATGTTTATATTTATATTAAAATTTTAATACACGTATATTTTAAAGATATTTTTTTTGCTCGTGTTTATTTAATTAGTTTAGTTCAATTCTTCGGTTTAAGTACGTTTTAAAAATAATTTACTAATACTCTGTTGGGGTGTAAGTAATAAAATTATTCTGGCATGACATTAATATGTATTTTATATTCAGCAAATATAGTGTATAAATGGTGGCCCCGAAAAATATATAAAAGCAACTTAATCTGTATCATCACATCAAGGTGACTTACTACGATTCAATATACTATAATTACTTAAAATAGGATTCAAGAGTTTATCAATAGTAAATTGTTAATAATAATACTATATATAATTATATAAATATAATTGGCTATAATAATATATGTATATTTTATTTACTATGTGTAATATATGTTTTGTGGAGTAGTACCTAATAATATTTTTTGTTTTACTTTGATAGTATTATATATATTTTTTCATTCATTCCCTAGAATCCTTATAGTTTCAAAAATGAATTCATTGGATAAATTAGAAAGTTAACAATCAGAATATCTATATATTTGTCAGGAAAATATAGAAAAATTGAGAAATTTACGACATATCCATTTTCAAGAAAATCTATTAATTCAAATGTATAAAATAATTAATAATAATTATTTTTCTATGGTTTAAAAAATAATAAATCTTGTAAGATTAAAACCCTTACGGATTTCAAAATCTATATCTAGGTACTATTAGTATAGTACTTAGATATTCAAATATTCACTATTTTTGTAAGAAATGTAGATAGTATAATTTTAAGATAATTTTTAGTATTTATTCGTTATTATACATAATGTTAACAATTTTATTCAGTTTTTATTTTAAATATTTTGATTATCCACGCCGTACACATAAATCATTAGGTTAAATATCGAAAAATATATGACAACATGCTCTTAATAATTTCTTTTTGTAAATATTTGTTTTTTGTTGATTATAATTATAACGCTCTTATGTCGAGTTGTATATACAATCACTTACCATTTAATAGTGAGCTAATTAATACTAGCTTAAACATGGTTTTTGCGATTCGTGATTAGTCCATTAAATTTTAGCGAATCATTAAAATGTTTATGAAACTTGGCATTAACATACTTATTTTAAAATATCAAATAATACCTTGATAGATTTTATGAAAATCAAATTGATTTATTTTCTAAAATTATTGCAAACTTGCGTAAATAGTGCATCTCTTTATGGATTGTTGTCTGACTTGCATGTGCCCCATAATGTTTGACCTTTTTAATTACTGTAGTGTGGCTCTTTTTAAATTGTATTATCTTATCGCCAGCAAAAGAATAAATTGTTTGATATTTATTGAACCATTTTACATTTACGTTTTTTATATATAAATAATAATATATGTATACTCATATATTAATATCTTAACTCTTAACAATAATTATCCTCTTATTTTAATTTATATGAATAATACTTATGTTAACTAATATAATATGAAAGTCAAATTTAAACGTAACAGTTGTTTATTCGTGTTCTTTTTTAAATTTTAAAAGTTTATATATATGTTTATTATATAGGTATATAAAAAACAGATGTCACTCTGCGTATAATAGGTATTAGGTTTAGGGTGACCGAAATATTCTTTGTATATATACAAAGAATATTAATATAGTATATATATATATTAAGAACTATATGTACCAAATGTAAACAATAAATATCAACTAAAAGTACTGTAATGTTAAATAATACTTACTGTAGTAATAAATAGAGTATACAGTATACTGAATTTAATAATAGGTGTAATAAAGTATTTTAATTCGATGGAAAATCATTGCTTGAAAAAACAATTCTAAACGGTAACAATGCGTGTTACCTTCTATTTTTAAGGATATTTTATAATTTATATAATTATTATGATAATAAATAACTTTTTTGATTAATAGCACTGTGTGTTGAACTTATTTTTGTCAAAAAACGTCGCATATATTATATTGTTATTTTTTGATTAGCATTTTAACTATAAGGGGAAAAACCATGTATCGTAGGACTATGTGAATGACTTAAGTGTAAATATTTTCATGATTTTATTTTCAATGTGTACTTCCTTTTAGAAAACAGTATTATATGCACTGGTGAATAGTTTCAAGTCCGTACAATTAATCATTTTTGAATAAGTATAATATATTAACTAAAATTGTTAGAGGAAAAATTGTTTCGTTTAAACATCCAATTTCGTCAAAATTTGAACTTAAAATATCTATAAAAATTGTACCAATTTCAAAAATTGCAATCAAAAAACAAATTATAAGAAACGAATTGTTAAGCTTTTTGGCATAACAAAAAATTTTTATCGTATATAAATTAAGAAACCATATAAAGTTCAAAATTTGAAATGTCTATAAATAAATAATGCAGTTAGAGCGAAAATTGTAAATGCCATATCTAGACAATGATTACCTATATTAAATATATTTTTTGAAAATTTTAATTCTTTACAATTAATAAATTTTTAATCAAAAAAAATCAGTTTATACATGTTTTAAGTAAATATTCTCGTTTTCGTGTTGTTGGTTTTTTTTTTTTTTTGTTTTAACCCGGGTATCATCCTAAAAAAAGAAAAAAATACTAGTCATTTCAATTTATTAATACATTTTTTTACTAGAAACCAACCTCATAATTGAAAATTGAACAATTTTTATTGCTTTAAAAGGTAATATCAGAAAAAAATAAAAATAACTTTTTTGTAAAATCAATACATTCATTCCTCTTCACAGAATTTAAAATTATCTGTAACTATTTGTATTTGTATAGTTGATTTTTGGGACACATATCTCGTATAATTCTTAATTATTATTTATTATATTGTATAGATCATCAAATTATAATGTTTTCAGGTAAATTTAAGATAAATTATTGTGTATTGTTTAGTAAATATGTTATTAATTATTATATATATTAACAATTTTTGTATGTTTTATGATTATTATTAATTGTTATAGAAATAATTTATTTACGTCATCATTTATACTACCAATGATTATAAATTGCTTATAGTTATTAAAATGTAATTAGTATTAATTTTTTTTTTATTAGATAACGCCTTGGTAACTATAGACATTAGCAGAATGTATTATATTATCTAGTAGGTATTTAGCGACATTCTATTTTTCATAATTTTCTATATTGGAAAATATTTTTGATTTTCTTATATTATTTTTTATTACATTTGAAATGCTTTACTAAATTTTAATTTTGAATTGAAATTGTTTAGGTTGATTGTATAATAAAACTTACATTTACATTTAATACATTTAAATTATATTTTTTTATTAATATTTGTCAAAACTTATTATTTTTATAACAAATTCTAAAAATATTATGTAACTTGTATTTACCATCATTTAGCATTAAGCTACTAAATAATTAATAGGTAGTCTCAACAAAGTAAAAACAATGCTAAGTCGAGATTAAATTTTCATAAGTTATTAAAAAAAATTCTTTTAAAAATTATATAGGTACCCATTTAAAAAGTTAAATTAGCTTTTATTTTTAATTTAGTTATCTTATACAATTTACATTATTCTAATTTCAAATTAATTTTTTTTTTTTTAGAATGAACGTCAAAGACAGCCATTATTGGGCTTATGTAAACAGGTGACAACAGCTATTAGTAATGGTGTTGGTTGGGAACCAAGAAACAATTCAAATACAGACAATTGTGAGCATCAACGACCTAATATGGGTCATATACACCAAGCTTTAGTAGACAACAAGCATCAATCTGATGGTGGGACACCACCTGCTGAAGATGATAATGGGTTTAGTGACAAATATCTCAACAATAATGCCAATGTAGCAGCTGTGCACATAGATATACCAAATAATGCTAATGTGTTATCAAATGATAAAATTAGGATCCCACAAGAGAAATTCAAGACTTTTGTTGGTAAATATTATAGTATATATTTTTTAAATTGTATGAGTATAATGTGTGTTTATTATTTTTATTATAATTTAGCACTAATTCTGTTGATTGTGAACTTTTTAATCACCACTACATCTTTGGCTGTTGTCCATGAAAGAGTGCCTGATCGTAGTCTATACAAACCATTACCGGATACATTTTTAGATGCTGTACCTGCTCGAGACTGGGCATTAGATGTATCAGAAATATTTATCATTGTCAGCACAAACTTAACATTGTTAATTATTGCCAGTCATAAGTATAGGTAATTACTAACTTTTTTAGTAGGTTAAAATATCATCATTATTGCAGTTATGAATGGATTGAGTTTTATTACTTTTTCTCTCACATACAATACATACAATAATCATTAATTGTTTTAATAAACGGGTCAAAGTTTCACATATTGAATTTCTTTATTCATTTGTTTAATGAATACATTATTTTTTTATTATTTTTTTTCTTTACAATAGATATTTTAATGATTTATGTATTACTTATTTTAATGATTCCCTGATGTGATGAAATCTTTAATTTTTTTAATTTTTTACAGTTTATAATACTGATAAAAAATATATTCAAATTTTATGTCATAAAATTTACAAATATAGTAGAATCACATTAAAATCTTATTTAATCTTCTCTAATTTTGTTACACAATATTTTGACGATCATGTAAATATTAATTTAAAATTATAGATAAAATATTTTTTTCATTTCAAAAATTATACTTTTGTATAGTCTTGTATTTTATTTAAAGTATTTATTTTAAGTTGTGTTTAGTGCATTTATGAATAAATAATTGTTTTAATGTATTTTTTTCATTTTAGGTTTATTGTACTACGTAGACTGATGTTCATGTTGTCTCTTCTATATCTCCTTCGCTCTATCACTATGTTTGTAACTGTATTACCCACTTCTAGTACCACTTATTATTGTTCGCCTAAAGCCAACTCAACAAATCCAGTACTAATTGCTAGACGTGTATTCCAGTTGTTTTCTGGTTTTGGTTTGTCAATCAATGGCAAGCACACATTTTGTGGCGATTATATATATAGTGGACATACTACAATTTTAGTGATGAGTTACTTAATCACCGTTGAATGTATATACTTTTGTGTTTTTAGTTATAAGTAGTTTAAAAGTTAATAATAAATTTCTTTTTATAAAGACTCTCCTAGACGATGGTATATATTACACTGGGCTTCATGGTTAATGGCAGCTGTTGGAGTATTAATGGTACTTATAGCACACGGTCACTATACTATTGATGTGATTATTGCATACTTGGTTACTACACGACTGTTTTGGATATACCATACATTGGCTAATAATGTTTATCTTAAGGTATGTTAATTTTAATTTTTCTAATAGTATATGAACAATTGTAACTATTAATATTAAAATGATCAAATATTCCATGGTACAAGACTTTTTTAAATTTTAGAGATTAGAATTTCAATAACCCCTAAATGGTTATGAAACATATTAAAAATATTTAATCTTTATATTCATACTATAATACTCTATTCTATATAAAATAAAATCAAACAGCTATCAATGGGTTGGTCTTTTACACAGTATGCAGTTATTGGTATGATCTGACTAATTGTGATGAAAACTGGTTACTGTTAATATTTTTTTCTCATATTATTAAATCACAACTATGCAAAAAAAAAAAAGAAAATCAAGTAATATGCCCTCACTTTATTGCTCTCATATGTTAGTAACATTGTATACAATGTTGTAATTTTATATTGTTACTTTAGGTTTTATTTGTAGTAATAAAACGATAAAAGTATTGTTTCATTGATATTTTATTTTTGTCTCATAAGTCATCATGTTTTGGTACATTAAAAATGCCCCAATATTTAACTTAGAATATCATTTTTATTATTAAACTGGATCTAGTTCATGAAAAACAAGAATATTTACTACTATAACTCAATAACAATTAACTAAGCATTTTTGAAATTTTCATAAAATATTTATATTATTATTTTCTAGACATGATGTTTTGGTTCTTTGTGATATTCATAAACATTTGAAATTATTATTTTATTTTATTAATTATATTTAAAGATTATGAGAATAAGATCTTAAAATATTTCAAATTAGTGGATGAAGAATAGTTAATTTTGAATATTTGATTACCTACTTAACGGTATTATTATGATATATGTTTAAAAATATTTAATAAACACATAACAAGCTAGTATGCCAATATAATTTGTGACTTTAACAATTTTAACATTTCCTCATTATAAAATGTTTAGGTTTAGTTAAAGAAATATTTATGAGGTTATAATGTCAATTTGTGTATTCTAGGAGTTGTATTGTAAAGTTTAATCTTTAAGAACTTGTTCCTCCTCGTAAATTGAAATGTTTTTAAAAACAAAATAATTATACAATTTGAGAATATGTCAACAAACATTTTAATACATTCAATTTGTCTTTGTACATTTTTAATGAAGTTAATACTATAAACTATCACTCCTAATATTCATGTACAATTATTTATTGTTAAACTATTATACTTTACTTATAATGAGTTATTTTTATTTTATAGCTCAGCAGTTCCAATAATTACTTATCACGGTCATGGTGGTTTTGGATGTTCAAATATTTTGAAGGAAATATCAATGGTCCAATACCTCGTCAATATGATTGGCCTTTACCATGGCCTCGACGGTTCACAGCCGCTAAATATCCAAATCGAGATAGTTAGCCCAGGTCACAAATCTCATTTATAAAAAATGTTCCTTGGCTGTAAAATAATATTAAAATAAAAAACAATATCATAAAAAATTAATTAACATTTCCATACTCATAACTATTCCTACTTTTTTGACATATACACACACACATACATATATATATATATGTATGTATATATTTGATATTTGAAATTGAATATATGTATATATTTATATTGTTACATGCCAACTGTTTGCTCAAACAAATTAAACATTTATGTATACTTAAAGTTTAAAAACAAAAAAAAAATTTATGTTTGAAATTATTAAAAATTACAAAACCTAAAAATCATTGGAAATTGCTTAAAAGTATTAGAATAAGAATATTTAAAAAAACCAAAAATTTATTAAATCTATGTTACTTTATTAATAATAATCTTTTTTAGTTTTATTCTGAGAATTTAGTGATAAGAGTTTTATTATTTTTAAGTAGTTAATTCATTTTGTAATTTATATTTTTAAATAAAATTTACTTTTCTAAAATTTCAAAATTCACAGTTTAATTAATGCTTAGAGAATACCATTAATTATATATTAATGTGTAAATCATTTAAAAGTATGTAACAATATAAATATATTATTTATATTATAAACATTGTGTTTGAAATGTATTTGTGTAAACAAAATAGCTTTTTTCTTTTTACTTTTAAAGTAAAATATTGTGGGACATTCATATATGTCAAATACTTATTTACATACATATATATATAAATCAAACTCAAAGTAAATATATACTCCTTTCTATTTACATTTCAAAATTAATATGTATATTTTTTGCCAATTTTTCTTACTCCATCTTTTTCCTTACAGTATTAAACATTTTTTAAACTAAACATAATACCTATTGTCATCAGTATTTTTAATCAGTAATCCATAATCATTCTTCTATATGCATTCATGAATTTACTTATACATATTTACATATAAAAATTATTATTTATTGAAAACCCCACTTTTTTTTTTTATTGATAATTGTGGTTTTTTTGTTTTTAATTTTTAATGTTTAAATATGGTTATTTTTGTTTTAATTTTTAATATTTAACTTAAGTTATTTTTTTTACTTGATTTATTTTACAAAAGTGTTTTAAAAAGAACAAATATGGGTTTGTTTAATAATAAATTATGTTATCAGTGGTGTATTTTCAATGATTTGTGCTAGAGTTGTAAATTAACTTTTAATCTATTTTATTATACTACATTATAATATCATGACTAATATTTTACTTATTAATCTAATAGCTCTTGATATTATAAATATTAATGAAATTAAATATTTATTAAATGAAAATAAAATTGTAATTCAGGATTATATGTATCATATTAAATTATGAAAATAGATTTTTTTATTTTTTAGGTAAAGAAAGATTATAATACACTAGGACAATTCTTGTAAATATACCACTTTATTGTGTTATTATAGTTACTTGTTCTTGTTTTTCTTTGTTGTCAAAACAATAATGTTGTAGCATAGAACAAAATGAATTATTATTATAATTATAAAAAAAATATTTATGTTAACTTAATATTTAATTATTATTATCTAGTCTTTGTTAATTCTAAAACAATTTTTTATCAAGATCAGATCTCTTGTGTTTAAAGGGGTTATGCTTGATTATTTCTTCCCCGTGTAAATTTACCAGGTATTTTGATTAGATCTGCTCTTGAAATGTTGCAATATTATTATTTGATTTACTATGTATAATTATTGTATAAATCAAATCAATTTTTTTTTTTTTTTAGTTAATTTTTTTTACTGTTTTAAATTTTATTTAACTTTTTAATCAATATTAAAAAGTTGAGTGATGTATTCCCTAAATTGTTAGTGAGGTGAAATATTTGCATTTAAATTGTAATTCTATATGTTTTTATAATCAAATAGTACAGTTTATTTTCGGTGAATTATCAATTGAGGTCCGTCCTTATAAAAAGTATTGATATCAGTGGTTAATATTAATAATGTAATGAATAAATAATGACCATATAATTATTATTTAATTCTTGTTGAAAACTATTGTATACATTCCTAGAAGTCATTATGGACTGTAAAAGGCAAAAGAGTAATATTTTTCATTCCGTTCAGAATATACAATTTTATCAAATAAATATCAGTCATTTACTCCATTTATGTACAAAAATTGTGCTAAATGATGTTGTGCTTATATTATATATATAAGCAGCTTTTTTTGTGCTTCTTTAGATTGTCTGTGATAGTCTTGTATGTTGCACTGACTAGTTAGGAAATAATGTTGTTACCTACCTGGAGTTTTTATTTTTTCTATAAATCCAGATATTATTTCAAAGTTACATATTTTTTTTTCTTAAAAATAATGGTGATTAAATAAATTGTCTGTTTCTGTGATTTAATGAAAAGAAAAATAATAATAGTTGTAAAAAAAAGAAGAAAAAATCAAACAATTTGGTTTAGAATGTTAAGAAAATTTTAGTCCTTTAATTGTTCTGAAAATATTTCATTGTTTGTAAGGACTATTTTTAAATGTACAATTATAATTTTCTATCAGTATTTTGAATATTAATAAAATTAAATTTGTAGTGTTTTTGCTTATTATTTGTTGATTTGTACTCTTGGTGTTTTATTTTTTATTTGTAAAATTAATCTCTCTTGATTTAAAAAATACTATCCTTATGACAAACATATTGAAAATGAAGAAAATAATGTGGCTTAATCACTTAGGAAACCAATTTTGTTAATATTTTAATGTTTTCTTTTTATTTAGATTACTCTTTGGTTAGAATATAGATGCCTTTAAATTAAATAGGTGATATTATTGATGCATAAAGATATATTTATACTATTACCTATGGTTCATTAATAATCTATACATTTTTGTATTTAAAGTGTGTATATTTTGTTGAATGATCAAAACATAATTTTATCAGAAATATACTAATTTAACCACTAACATTATTTAAAATAAGATAAACAAATTAATGTCAATACTGAATAGTACATAATATAAACTATGTTTAGTACATAATATACTAAAAATAGTTTATCTGTATAATACTATAGTATAATATTCTATTGTGAATAAATTATTAAGAGTAATAACTAATAATATATTAAAGTGCTAATATCAGTTTTAGAGAAAAACCATTAAAATACACTTAATAGTGGTTTTACTAAAATTACTTTTCATGGACTCATTGGTCATTACCTTAACATCTATTATCTACTAAAATCTAAAGTATAAATACACTTCATTATAAAATAAAAACATTTTTTTGTTTAGCAGAATTAGGTATCTTACTTGTCTAATGTACCTATTTTGTTAATATTCATTACTCGTACACCTAATTTATCAACATTGTACTTACTTACATAATAATGAACCCATAGATATATTAACTACTTATAAATTATCATGACTTTTATACTAATCTTATAATTATAAATCTTAATATATTACTCAAATTGGAGAAGAATAATAAATAGAATTGTTTCAGGATATTAAAGCTTATATATGAAGGTGTTTGCATGTATGTTTAGCAGTTTAGCTCCTTTAAATGCAGGTACTTTCTCCAAAATGTTCGTACCTATACCTAATATATTAATTATGATGTAGTCTAGTAGGTAGATAATTGTCCAGTAGAAGGAAACGATTTGAAAAATTAACAAAATAGGTAATTTGAAAAATAGTAGGTTAAGTTATGCAAGAAAATTGACTTTTCGATCATCTGCAGATGACCGATTTCTAGACATCTCCTGACATACTCCCTGAGCGAATATCCGTTGAAACGATTGTTAATTTTCTCTGGCTAAGCCACCGCAGTTGGATAAGCATCAGAATTAAGTTATCTACACTAGAGTATGACTCTATTATTATTTTACATAATATTATATTATTATAATAATATAAATACTAGTGATGGGCATGGTCTTAGATCTTCTAAGAACGTGGTGATGAACGATCGATAAGTGATAACTGATAAACGAATTATTTTATTGGTATCAAAAAATAGTCATTCGACTAATCGGTCAGTAGTTATTCTAGTTAAGACTAACTATCGAGCATCGACCAATATTAGATATTTAGGTTCAAGGTTGTATTGTTGTATACTTGTTTATATAAGTCGATTATGTCCATCACTAATACATACATGATGTAAATAATGTTATTGTATGTTGTTAGCTGTTATCATTTGCTATGGTTTAAATTCTAAAATATTTTTATGAATTACCACTTCAATACTATAGAAATTTAATATGTTTTATTGATAAGTATTTCAAGACTTCAAGTATAGTTCATAAATTAGCATAGCGGAGTGGTGTGAGTTTAGGTGATATAGACATATAGGGTACTCGTCCAATATGCTATCTACTGTAATTTTATGTTGGTGAAGTATGATATTCTGAATCACGTTTTCGACTATTTTTCAGAACTTTTTTTAACTTACCACCACAAATTGCTTGGTTTTTAATTTTTGTACAAGTTTGGTCGATTGGTAATAAACCGTGTATACTTAAAAAAATTTTGCACATCTCTTCATTTTGAATTATGTGTCGATATAAATAACTCATAGTTGACAAACTCATAATGATAATTATTAAATAATATTTAATAATAAATAAATCACAGTAAAATCTCGTATATAATTGACATGACTCACAAACACACACTACACAGGTATAATATAAAGGTATATTTACTAACCTATATACCTAACTTACTAAGGTTTAATCATAAATATAATATGATTTGGGTTTTCAATAAAAGCTTAATCTTAAATCTTAATTGCAAAATGATAAAGTATGTATAATATACACTATACAGCATACAGACATATGTAGATATCATACTAAACTATAATAAAATTACAGTAAATAAAATATTTAAAGTAGATAGTATATTGGAGGAGTATCGACATATATTATAGTGTGGACGTGTGGTACCTACCTATAGTACCTACTGTAGCACTGTGGTAAGTACTTACCCCACAAGATGTTTGTCCCCTATCATTTCACTTATTTAAACTTTAAAATTTAAATATATAAATGATTGATAGATATAAATAATACATTTTTCATTTGGAACTAAAATAAATATTCTGTTTTAAAATATTATATAAAGGATATACTATCAATTATTCACATATCAAACAAAAAACAACGAAA